GCGCCGCCGGCGAAGGAGACCGAGTCGGGCAGCTTGTGGCACATCTCCTCCGGGTGGTTGGTGAGCTCCATGAGGGTGCCGTCGAGGTGGGGGAAGACCTTTGCGCTGCTGCGGAAGCGCATGTTGGGGCAGAGGTTGTAGCGGCCCTGCTTGCAGAGGAGACACTGGCGACAGGGGAGCCCAACTTCGAGGGCAACGCGGTCGCCGACTTTCAGCGTCTTCACGTCGGGACCCAGCGCTGTCACGACGCCGGAGGACTCGTGGCCCAGGGCCATGGGCTCGCGCACGACAAAGTCGCCATTGCGGCCGTGGTTGTAGTAATGGAGATCGGAGCCACAGAGGCCGGTGGCTCGAATGGCGATTTGCACTTCTGATCCTGTGGGAGGGGGAGTTTGACGGGATTCCTGGTCTTATTAGCAGGTGAATCGAGACAGTTAAAAAAAAAAGACGAAGCAGAGACCGCTGACCGAGAACCTACCAATCGAAGATCCTTTGCTCCATGGAGAACCAGCGCCTTGGAGGGTTTACTCTCCAACGTCGTTGCGGTGGCAGAAGCCATTGTGTGTTTAAACCAAGCCCAGCGCTCTGCTGCACTAGACAAGAGGTTGTTTTATAGAATCGATCTTGATAAAAATAGAATGTTGTCTTTGTCTTCCCCTCCCTTGAACCTGACTGGCTGAGGATGATAGCAGCAATCACGGAGACAAAAAGAAAGAAGGTATATTAAGACAATAGTAAGGATAGTAAGAATATGTAGGGAGTACTGTAGTCGACTAGATAGCTTCGATGACAGCAATCGCGGGGATAGTTTCTTAAGAACCCCACGTTTCTCCCTTCCAGATCGGGATTGATCGAGTGACGTTCTGGCCCGACCAATCGGGCTGCAGGGCCGATTGCATGGCTGGAAGTCCCGTCTGTCTGTACGAGTAATTTATGTTTGGGAATACTCCGTAAAAAACAACAATACAGTACATACCGTATTGTCAGGATAGTATATATAATTCTACGGAGTACATGTTATCCACCATATCAACGTGAGACATGTACGGAGTATAATTATAGCAGTCGCCAGCTGATCGACGCATACGCACTGCTCTGCCGGCGACAATTGCTCCGTGCTTCTGCCAGCTCGGCGGAGGGAAACCCGAGCGGGCGATGGCGGGGCCCGTCGGCTAATGAAGCGGCTCGCTGACTGGTCCGTCGACGTGGGGTGCGCGACGGCAATTGAGCCTGAATTCATCCACGGAAAACTCCAAACATCCAGCAGTACGGAGTATACACCTATACGCAGTCCGCCGGTACAGAATAGTGGATTGCTGATTGACAGCGGTCAGTAATATTCTGTAGCTGGTTACGGCGGCACGTATCGATCAGTATTTTATTTTTTAGACGTAATGCATGTTTCGTACAGAGTAGTTCCCCCACTGAACTTCTACTCGGAGATGCTGCGAGGTAGCACCCCAGTTACCGACCGATGGCCCTTTCGCTACAACTATCTTCCATAATATTATCCAGACAACCTGCTAGCTCCTGACTCGGTCTTCTCTACGACTGACGTGCCTGCTGCCCCTCGAAAGGCCATTAATTAAGGTAGTATCTGTAGTAAAGCTCAGCTCCAGGTACGCATCTACCCCGTCTCCCCGCATTTATCTCCTTTCACCTGTGGTCTTATCACCTCCCTGTCTACGGAGTATATTTCTGCATTTTTTATCTGGAGATAGAATATATTTACTCTACCGTTGATGGCTCTGCCGTCTGCACGCATTTTCAGACCAGTCACTTACTCCTGTCGATACCTACGCAGTCCCTCGTTCCCACGTCCTTGTTGGGGTCCCCCGCCCACGACTCGCAGATTCACCACCATGCCCTCGCAGGCCGCCTTACTGATCGGAAAAATCACCCATGCCCGCAAGGAATGGGAAGCGCTCTCGTCGATATTGACTCTGAAGGTAGGCGATAAAACAGCTATCCCTGCCATTTTATGTGTTCTCGCGATTAACGCGCTGTTTGTCGAATTGCTAGGAATTCCCCGACGGGACGCGAGAAGAATTCCTCGAGAATTGCAGAAGCGGCAAATACGATGATGTGGTCGTCATCTATCGGTCGAATGCCTCGAACAAGGTGAGACAGTACCAAAAAAAAATAAGTATTGGCGTGGCCCTCTGCTAACCAGTCTTCTCTAGTTGACTGGCAACTTCAACAGCGAACTGGTCTCCGCCCTGCCCCAGTCGCTCAAGTATATCTGCCACAATGGCGCTGGCTACGACAATATCGATGTCCCTGCTTGCACGAAGAGGGGTGGGTGTTTTACAGTACTATCAGTCTCGTCAGTCATGCTAATGCAGGTCTAGGAATTGCGGTTTCCAGCACCCCCGTTGCGGTCAACAATGCGACTGCTGACGTCGGCATCTTCCTCATGATCGGCGCCCTACGGCAGGCATACGTTCCGTTGGCTGCGATCAGAGCAGGTGTGTTGCACATCACGGGTGTTTTAATTTCAGATGGTGTCTAATCTGAGACTACGCATATGCAGGTCAATGGCAGGGAGAGACGAAGCTGGGCCACGACCCCAACGGAAAGACTCTGGGAATTCTCGGAATGGGAGGGATTGGAAGAGTAAGACGCATTGGGACCGAGATGAGGGACGGGCAACGCTGACAGACACAGGAAATGGCTCGTCGGGCCAGAGCGTTCGGCATGAAGATCCAGTACCACAACCGCTCCCGTCTTCCACCCGAGCTGGAAGGCGACGCGACGTATGTGTCCTTTGACGAGCTGCTGGCCAGCTCCGACGTTCTCAGCCTGAACCTCGCCTTGAACGAGTCCACGCGACACATCATCGGCGCGCCTGAGTTCGAGAAGATGAAGGACGGAATCGTCATTGTGAACACGGCCCGGGGCGCTCTGATTGACGAGAAGGCGCTCGTCGCAGCGCTCGAATCTGGAAAGGTAAGCCCCAGTTGTCCTCATGATCAATAATTAATTCAAACGGTCGTGTTGACCATCAACAGGTCGCGTCCGCCGGTCTCGACGTGTACGAGAACGAGCCCGAAATCGAGCCGGGCCTGTTGAACAACCCGCGGGTGATGCTGCTTCCGCACATCGGAACCATGACGTACGAGACGCAGAAGGAGATGGAGTTACTGGTGCTGGAGAACGTGCGTTCGGCGATCGAGAAGGGTCAATTGATCACGCAGGTGCCGGAGCAGAAGAGGCTGCAAAATGGCAGCGGTCATTTGTAGAGTCGAGCCAGGTTTCTAGTACGGAGTATGATCTGCGGGATATGCTATGTCATGAAGTTTGTAGAGCTAGATACACGATTAGTACCGTATTGCGTCATTGAATTCATCTTATTAATGTTAAGAAAATATCGTACCCAGATCGAATCTATGAAAGGCGTCAGGTGAAGATCTAATGTTTGTTTCTCAATAATTTCTTCTAGTGTTGCTACTCCGTAGTAAACTTCTGCCAAGAATGCCGCGGAGAGCGTTGCCGCCGGTTTGGGCTAGGAGGTAGGGCTCGCTTAGGGCACAACCGCGCCAAGGCGAAAAAGCGCACCATCACTCTCACCTCGACACTTTGCGATCTCCGTCCATCGACAGAAGAAAAGCGACAACATCATCCGACCCGACACCCCGAGGACCATCTCTCGCTCGGCAATCTCGTCAAGATGGTGAGTTTTTTACGATGCTTTCGAGCATGACGCACGGTTTCTGTGTGCCCGTCGCCCCGTCGTTCTCGTGCAATGGACCGGTTAAACCGTCCATGTACAATACATATGCATCATGTCGCCCCGTCCTGGTTTCGAAACGCTACGCTACGCACCGCACCAGTCACTTCG